GTTGTATGCGCACTTTCACAGAATGGCTTGCTTCATCAATCTAGACTCAGCACAGAACTTTAGATAAACTCTTAAAGTTGTGTTTAATCTCACATCTCTAGACACCAGTTCAGAGCGACGTACAATCATGTGCATATTTGATATTTAAATGCTGTCTGTTTAACTTGGTCAATAAATATTCATAAACCACAGTTTGCTTTGTTGAATAGTGATGTTATTTCCAGTGATGTCATTTCAAAATATGCAGGTCACTGATATGGTCAAGAATTTATGAAACTTCAGATCAGTTGTTGAATTAATGATTAATTAATTAATTAATTAACATAGGTAATTGATTAAATTGGATTGGTGATATTTCTCAACATTTGTTGAGTGGTGCCCCCAAATTTACTTCTAGTCAGAGCCGAACACTCACAAAGGCCACATGAGTGCTGCTTTAATTTAGAATTCCTAAATTCTAATCTGTAACATCAATTACCCCCCCCCTACATCACGGTATCACGCTGAGCCCATGTAAATTTCTCCTACATATTTTGGTGCTCATGTGAGGCCAGATGTAGTCACACTACACCTGCTTAGCTTCTGAGATCTGACGAGATCAGGCTTTGACAAGCTGGAATGGCCACAAATTGAGCATCTTTAAAAATGGTAGCTGTCTTGAATTTGTGACAAGCATCTTTTTCCATTATCATGTTCTGTAGAGAGTATTTATATCAAATGTTATGCTTGGATCACTTTTGAATACTTTATAATGAATTTATATAATAACCATTTATTAGCAATCGCGGCCATCTTGAAAAATGGCCGCCATATTGAATTTTTTAGTGGCCAACACCTTTTTCCAAAATAGTGACCCTTAGAGAGTACCTGTGCCAAATTTCATGCTTTTATACCAAAGTGAATGATTTTTTCACTAATCTGCACTGCACAATCTGAGACTTCTGTCCAATGTTTTGTTCTTAGCCATTCTTGTGTTTTTAGCTGTGTGTTTTGGGTCATTATCCTGTTGGAAGTCCCATGACCTATGACTGAGGCCACTGACACTAGACAACACATTTCATTCCAAAACACCTTGATAGTTTTGAGATTCCGTTGTATTTCACACAGATTCAAGACGCCCTGTGCCAGATGCAGCAAAACAGCCCCAGAACAAAACCCAGCCTCCTCCATGTTTCACAGTAGCGACAGTGTTCTTTTCTTGATGTGCTTCATTTTTGCGTCTGTGAACATAGAGCTGATGTGCTTTGCCAGAGAGTTCCAGTTTTGTCTCATCTGTCCAAAGGGCATTCTCTCAGAAGCTTTGTGGCTTGTCAATCTGCATTGTGACAAAATCCAGTTTCACTTTTTTATGATTTGCTCTCAGCAGTGGTGTCCTCACATGAAGTCTACTTCAGCTCAAACATTGACAACTAAATACATTTTCATGTTCTGAACTGTTATTAAAGATTAAGAAAGTGTTGCATGTTGTTCTTTCTCTCTCTTTTTTCCCCGTGCAACCGCTAATTATCGAATACTCAATGCGGCCCAGCCTTACTCAGACTTTATCTAATGTGGCCCCCAGGTAATTTGAGTTTGAGACCCTGTTATAGTAAATATATAAATAGAGAGCTAAAAACAGATGGAGACTAAATAAAATAATGGTAATTTAATTAAAAGCAAATAGTAGTAATATAATAATAATAATAATAATAATGATAAAACAAGTAAAAGTTTCAATTAAAATCTAATTTAAAAAGATACGTTTTGAGTTTACTTTTAAAAATATGAACACTCGCAGCGGACCTCAGATCCTCAGGTAGACTGTTTCACAAACGGGGGCCGTAAAAGCTGAATGAGGCCTCACCGTGAGTTTTAGTTTGGACTCTTGGGACAGTTAAACGACTACTACCTGAGAGTCTGAGAGGGCTCATATGATAAAAGCAGATCAGATAAATAAATAGGACTAAGACCATTAAGAGCTTTATAAACCAATAAAAGAACTTTAAAATCTATCCTGAAGCTCACAGGAGCCAGTGCAGAGACGTCAGTACCGGGGTGATGTGCTCTCTCTTCCTGGTCCTCGTCAGCAGCCGTGCTGCAGAGTTACTATTATTAATATCATTACCATTATTATTTCAATTATTAACTGTATTATTATTATTATTATTATTATTATTATTAATTAATAATATATTGTGGTTATTGTGATTATTAAATGCTATTATCATCATCATTAACGTCACTATTTCCATTTTTAAATCAATGCCATTATTATTGTTATATATATATATATATACACCACACACACACATATATATATACATATATATATATATAGCAAGCTGGAAGGAAGGAGGCCGAGGACTAGTGAGTGTGGGAACCACTGTCCAGGATGAAACATCCAAGCTCCTTGAATACATCAAGGACAAGTCCCCGACAGATGAGGTGCTCAGAGAATGTCTCAGACAGTGGTGTCCAGAGGAAGAGGTGCCGGAGGGACCATCATGGCAGGACAAACCCCTACATGGGGCGTACCACCGGAACATAACTGAAGTGGCTGATATCAAGAAATCCGACCAATGGCCTGAGAGGGCTGGTCTGAAGGACAGCACAGAGGCACTGATCCTGGCTGCTCAGGAGCAGGCCCTGGGCACTCGAGCAATAGAGGCCCAGATCTACCACACCAGACAAGACCCACGGTGTAGACTGTGCAAAGAGACCCTGAGACAGTCCAGCACATAACTGCGGGGTGTAAGATGCTGGCAGGGAAAGCATAACATGGAGCGACATAACCAAGTGGCGGGCATAGTGTGCAGAAACATGTGTGCAGAGTACGGGCTGGAGACCCCAGGATCAAGGTGGGGAACACCTCCAAAGGTTGTGGAGAACGACCGAGCCAAGATCCTGTGGGACTTCCAGATACAGACTGACAGAATGGTGATGGCGAACCAACCAGACATGGTGGTGGATAAGAAACAGAGCAGAGCCGTGGTGGTGGACATCGCAATACCAAGCAATGGTAATATCAGGAAAAAGGAACACGAGAAACTAGAGAAATACCAGGGGCTCAAGGAGGAGCTGGAGAGAGCCTGGAAAGTGAAGGCATCAGTGGTGCCTGTGGTGATTGGAGTACTCGGGGCTGTAACCCCCAAACTGGTAGAGTGGCTACAACAGATACCGGGAAAAACAAGTGACATCTCAGTCCAGAAAAGTGCAGTACTGGGAACAGCAAAGATACTGCGCAGAACTCTCAAGCTCCCAGGCCTCTGGTAGAGGACCCGAGCTGAATGAGGGTGAGAGACCAACCACCGTGGAAGGTGAAATGCCTTTTTTATATATATATATATATGTATGTATGTATATGTATATATGTGTGTGTGTGTGTGTGTGTGTGTGTGTGTATATATATATATATATATATATATATTTAAAATAACTTTGTTTTGAGACAGAGAGAGACAGAGAGGCTCTCTCTCTCTATCAGCCTACAGTGGTTGTAAATGTAATATTTATAAAAAACAAGACAGATCAAAGTCCTCATTCAGACCCAGATGTTCACATGCTCTTAGTTTATGAATCCAGAAAGCATCTCTTTGATTTCATTTCTGAAGTCTGTCTCTACCTCTTGCCAGTTGTTTCACATGTTCAATACCTTCAATGCGAAGCAGAGTGTCATTGCTATTATGATATTCACAAAAATGGTGAGCCATTGGGTAGTCCTGGTTCTTAACTCTAATTGCATATTTGTGCTCGGCTAAGTTTTGATCCTTTTTCCAAGAGCACCCTCTACCTGCCACAGTTTTGTTCTTTCTGTAGGAATTTTTATTTATTATTGTGTTTCTTAGTTTCAAGTTATTTCAGTGAAAATTGTTGATTTTTCTTTCATTACCTGAGGGATACCAACAATTTTGTCCACGTCTGTAGATCTATTAAAATAAGGAACCTCCCAAGCTTCCTCTGCTGAAGAAGCTCATGGTTCTGGTTATCATGCAGTTAACAGAGTTAATGCAAAGATGAGCTTGAGTTGAGTTGGTTTCTTTTTTGAATGAAAAGTTAATAAAAAAGGTAATATGTACTGTTTAGGGCGGCAGTAGCTCAGTTGGTAGAGCATTCGCCCACTGATCTGAAGGTTGGTGGTTCGAATCCAGCTCTTGAAATAAACATCACAGGTTGGCTGGTGTGATTCTAGCTCCCACAGATGAATGCTGTCATTGTGTCCTTGGGCAAGACACTTAACCCACCTTGCCCCTACTGTCTGTGTACACTGGTGTGTGAATGGGTGAGGTGGAAAAGTGCTACAGAAAAATTTGACCATTTACCATTTAATTTTATTTTACAGTTAAATTATTATTTATGTATTTATGGACTTGTCATCTTAAATGTCACATAACCACTTTGTTCCTACATGAACTGCCTCTTTGCACTTCAATAAAAAAAAGACCTCGTGGAATTTGGCATATTTGTTTTTGCAGTATTTTTTTTTTTGGGGGGGGGTATTTCCTGTACAGATATCAAGATTTTTATTGCATATCGAGATATAGCAAAATATATCGAGTTGTATTTTTTGCTCCATATTGTCCAGCCCTAGTTCAACATATGTGTATCATAAGTTTGGAGATTTCTTTCAAAAACCATGAATCACTCATAGAGTTATATTTATACTCTGCAGCTTATGTCATCATTCCATGGGGGTGTGACACTAACTGAAGTCAATTCTCTGTCAGAAGCTCTACTAGACTTTAAATTGAGCTTTATTTTAACACAATCTGACCATAAAAAACTGGTTTAGCTGGAACTGCAACAGGTGATCTGATTTGTGCTGTTAAACGAGTCTCTCACCATGGTAACTGCTGCACATTCCACCATAGAGATAAATGTATAACACCCCCAGTATAAATAGGTCCCTACCCTCCCTCTGAGATTATGACATCATCAAATTCAAGAAAACAACCTATTGCTCAAGTCTGCCTCTCAGTAGTACAGTATAACAGTATCAGATTTACCATGTGTTTTGTGTGTAGGTGCTGAACAAAGGGAGTATCATCAAATCAGAGCGGCTGGATGTCTCCCTGCATGTGGTGGCGATACAGCTCAGTGTTACCCCAGAAATGATGCCCTCTTTTCGAGTCGTTGCGTTCTACTCACTCCCCTGGTCCATAGAGGAGGAGGTGGTGGCTGACTCCATCTATGTGGAGGTGCAGGAGTCCTGTGTGAGGACGGTACGGATCCTTGTTATATCTCCATGTTCTAATGCTGTTACCTCATCTAAAACAAACCTGGAGTTGGGTTTTGTTTCATTTACACATGTTTGAATAATCCTGGATGATTAGGCTGTCTGCAGTTCAAAAAGCTCCATTTCACCTTGTGATGTCATTAAGTTAGTTTTGTGGTAGCAGTTTAGTGGTAGTTTTACTCTGCAATACATAAGAACAGTCTGAGATTGTTGCTTTTATTTTTGAATATGAGTTTTACCTTTTGTTAGGGCTGGGGACTGAAACTCAGTTCCATGTAGGAACCGACTGAAAAGGGTCGGTAAGTACTGGTTACCGAAATATTAACATTTCGGTTCCTTGGCTTTAAATGCCCGTGTCAGTGAGCCAGTGCATACACTGCTTCGCAGACTGCGCCAGAATTCTCAATTGTCAGTCCTGGGAAAAGCGTAATTCCCAAATGCGGTGTATATATCCAGTGTAGAGCGCATGTGTGTAAAGATGTATCTAAAAGCAGTAAAGCAGTAAAAGAGTAATGTGATTTATCAAAACAAAACACTGCTGTATGTGGCAAAAACAAAAGTGAACTGAAGCACATGTCAATACAAGTGAGGATCAGTTGTGCTCTGGTTCATTTACATGTGCTTGTGCTTTTGTTTGGAGTTATAACTGAACATCAAGTACTATGTTTTAAAATACAAATGAACAGTTATAAAGTAATTCAAGGATTGAACAGTATTTTCTTAATAATATTAGCCATTCATTTACATAAAAAAATACAAAAAAAGTACCCAGCCTCACCTTTGGTACAGTTGAGAATGTCAATAGAAAATCTTTAACATCTGCTGATGCAGATGAAGGGTTGAATCAGTTTAACTAAGGGTAAAACAAAAGCTTCAAAGGCAGTTCCAGGGCTGAAATGGTTTATTGGGATATTGCATCGATAGAACGTACTGCAGCCTGTACACTTAACACTTTTTTAAGCACCCTGGTTCTCTAGTTGTAACCCCACTGTTGTGTCCTCCAGCTGAGTGTGGGACCACAGGGGACACCCACTGACCTCATGCCTGGGAAGATGCTCCGCCTGCGAGTACAAGCAGAGCCCGGCTCCACCGTCAGCCTGGTCGCTGTGGACAACTCTGTGTTTCTGCTGCGGAGAGACAGGCTCACCCAGAGCAAGGTACTATTACTCCTATTACTATTACTACTGCTGCTCCTGCTACTAAACCAGAACTACTCCAGGACTACACCAGGACTAACAGGTTGTTGTACATACTGTGTGCAGGTGTGGGGCGTGCTGCAGAGGGGGGACCTGGGTTGTTCACGTGGGGGAGGGGCCAGTGCCAGAGGAGTCTTCTCAGATGCTGGACTGCTCTTCCTCACAAACAGCGGTTTCATGACCGACTTCAGACAAAGTCCGGCTGACACAAGCCTAACTCCCTCTCCTGTACTTCTGCTCACTCCAGAATCAGTAAATAAATAAACATGCATGTGCTTTTGTCCACAGCTCTGCAGTGCCCACGCAGCTCCAGGTGGAGACGCTCTGCTGATCTCGTAGAGCGCAAAGCTGCACTTGGTAAGTACTAAGTGAAACATATGAAGTCCTGTTCTAGGCCTGGTTTTGTCCTGGTCTTAGCCTGGTTTACTTGGTTTACTTCTGGTTTACTCCTGGTTTGGTCCTGTCTTAGTCCTGGTCTAATCCTGGTCTAACCCTGATCTAGTCCCGGGGTTTCATTTCTAAAAGACTACCTAAGACTTTTCCTGAGCTAGTGCGTACTCTTAGTGGCCACCAGAGGCGTGCGCCACAATCTGTGCTTTATAGATCCCACCTGCAGCTAGAATCTGCATACATGAAACCACTTCACATCACGCCCGCTCCACACCTTCACTTCTCCATAAAAGGAGCATGCAAATTGACTCCTGATTGAGATTTCCCTAAACATGAGCCGATAATCAGTGGGTTTGCCTGAGACAGGAGAGAGAGAGGGAGGGGCGAACGACTCATGCAGCACCACACAGTCATTTCAAAGGCTTAAAATAAACAGACACAAAAATAAAAGTAATTGCAATGACTGATCTCATAATTTAAATTAGAAAGTAACAGACTAAATTACATCATAATATTTTGGCAGTTTTGAATGCATGTAAAGAAATAGTGTTGATCGCAGGGGCATTGGTAACCATAGGCCAGTTGTGATCCACAACCAAACTACTGCCCAGGTTGACTGGCACATGTACCTAGTACCTTGGTGTCTTTATTGACAATAGGTTAACCTGGAGCGCACACATTGATCACCTGTGTAGTAGACTACAACAACGTTTGTGCTTCTTGCATCGCTTAAGTGCCCATGGTGTGGAAAAGAGGATCACACAGATCTTTTATCATGCTGGGCTGGAGAATCTTTTAAGGTAGATCCTGTTATGGTCATTTGTCTGTGCATCTTAAAAAAAATTGTGGGTGAGCAGGAGCCCCTGTCTATGCAGAGCAACTATGAGCAGGCCACTCTGCGCCAGGCCAATAAGATCCTGAATGACCCTCTGCTGGGGTGGGCGATATATCGATGTTTTAAATATATCGAGATAGTTTTTAAACTCGATATGAATTCTCACATATCATATACCGTATTTTTCAGACTATAAGTCGCACTTTTTTTCATGGTTTGGAAGGTCCTGCGACTTATACTCCAGTGCGACTTATCTATTTATAACCACTTACCATCCACCCGCCCGCCGGCCGGGCGATTTTCCAATAAAAAATGTTCACTCTGTATATTCACCTTCATTATTGTTTTCACTACTGGCATGCCATACATAGTTTGAAAGCTTAATTTATCAATAAAACAACCATATCATTCATTTTATGCCGTACAACGAGCCCAAAATGCTATAACTTAAAAATTCACATCATAACAAAGAATAAGATACGCGTTTCTTACCTTTGAGCCGGTTCTGTCGGTCCAAAACGCGTTCAATCCATGAAAAGTTGTACTCAATAAATCCGTAATAATCCACAGAAAAAGAATATCAAGTTGTTTTTCCAAAAAATAATTCCATGTGGGGAAATAATCCAGAAAACCGTCGTCCGTATGAGTGGATGAATCCGTGAATGAAAATATTATGTCTCTTCTCCGCCTCTTCTCTCCTCACTGTCGCCGTGAACGCCGAAAGTTGGTGCCAGTGAAAAGCTTCAAGCACCACGAACCTTTTCCACCATTTACAGACAAAACCATCAGCAGCACATCCTCATATTCCACCGAGTCACGTCCTTTAGCCCGAAAGAAGTTAAACGAGCTGAGCTGCACGGGAAGTGCTGTTTATGCAAATGAGTCATGCGCAAAACTGCATTAAACACATTATTATTGCAAACGGGCTGATGTGGCTCTAGAGTCATTATGCTTTATTTATTGTAAAGTTTAGCAATGTAAAGTTTATTTATGCAGAATATTTTAATTAATAATCTGAGTTAATGCAAAGATGAGCTTGCGTTGAGTTGTTTTATTTATGAATGAAAAGAAGGAAATATGTTTTATTTATTTTATTTTACAGTTACATTATTATTTATGTAATTAGGGTTTTTTGTAATCTTAAATGTTCCTATATGAACTGCCGACCTCTTACACTTCAGTTTAAAAAAAAAAACAGGACCTCGTGGAATTTGGCAGATTTGTTTTTGCAGTTTTCAGTTTTAGGGTTATTTTTTCTTGAACGTATATCGACATATATATCGTATATCGAGATATAGCAAAATATATCAAGATATATTTTTTGATCCATATCGCCCAGCCCTTACCTTCTGCCCACTCTGTACTCGGAGTAAGAGTTGTTACCTTCAGGGTGAAGGTTAAGGGCCCCACGCTGTCACATGAACAGATTTAAGTATTCCTTTCTGCCAGTGTCTATTAGGCTACTGAACAATTAGTAATTGTTTGTACTGCATAATGCACTTCATTATGGATTCATGAATTGTAATTATTGTGTTTTTAATGAATTCTGTATTTATGGATTCTATCAGTATTGTGGGCTGCTGTATCGATATATCGCCAAGAGTATTTTTTGGTATATTTTACAAAATTATTTTGTTACAGCACTACAGTTTTGTTGCTTGTTTAGTTAAAGGAAACTCATTTATGCGACACATTTGACATCTTTGATTAAAATGTTTGTGTTTCATATTCACTTTGCACAAGAAGTGGTTTAAGAAAGACTTTGATAGCAATTAGGAGGAGTTTTGTAAATCCCGCGGTTGGCGTAGAGGGTGCCTATGCAATGCTTAGTGCGTAAGCACATAAATGAGGCCCCTGGTCTAACTCTGGTGCCTCCTCTGTAGAACGGGAGTACAAAGATGAGCTGTTGCGCCGCTGTTGTGTGGATGGTCTCAGGGACATTCCGATGTGGTACTCATGCACACGGAGGTCCCTGTACATCTCAGAGGGAGTGGAGTGTATCCGGGCTTTCAGACACTGCTGTGGCAAGTACCGGGGCGAGCCCATCGACCCCCACATGCCCACTGCCATGCCCAGCTTCACCACTGCCACCACTCCCCCTACCGCACATATGAGATGGGATGGGGTCGTGGAGCCGATTGGTAAGTACATCCTGAGTGTGTGCTGGTTTACTCATGGTCTAGTCCTGATTTAGTCCCAGTTCTGTCCTAGTTCAGTCCTATTTCTGTATTGGTTTAGTCCTGGTTCTGTCCCGATTTAGGAGGCTTTCACACCGCTAGTTTGATTATTTAGTATGCACCAGGCAATCATCAGTGTTTACTTTCCGGTATAATTAAAAGACAATTTTGACTCACAATGGAGCGACAGGTTCGCACATTCGTAATTTCTCTGATCTTTGTTTATTACATTGTCTGTATTGGTAAATTATCCAATTCGAAAATGTGTCACGGTTGCATCTGAAGAACAGTCTGTTATTTCACTGGAGGCGTATAGCGCGTCATTTCAGGCAGAGAAGATGCTCTGTTTTCATGGATGTGGTCATGCTGACTATGAGATGAAGATTGTTCCAAAGACCCACAAGGTAGGCTATATGCCCATAGGCCCATGATACATTTCGAATAGTTCTTTTGGACCCACTGTGTATGGATTAGACCCGAGTTTGTGTTCTCACTGGAGGGACTGCACCAGAATTTGGCATTTGTTGCGGAGTCAAGCGACCCGAGACCACCTCTTTTTTGAGGTCTCAGGCCGCTTCATTTAGTGCAGATCTGAGCGCGATTGATACTTTCACACCAACGAAAATTAACCAAATTAAGAGCTTTTAGTTTGAATGGACCATTTGGTGCGCATCAACTACTGTCGGTGTGTATGCACCCTTAGTCCTAGTTTAACCCTAACCCTAACCCTTGGTTCAACCCTGATCTAGCCCTGGTCTATATTGGCGTATGTGTATGAATGTTTTTAGTACCGCAAGTATCTAGTTTCAATACTAGTTTTAATATTGATTTGTGTCTGATTTTCAATAGTTTTGGACTTACTAGAAGCAGAGGAACAGCTAGTGGCTCTTGCCTCGTCAGCTGCTGTGGCCAGAATGTACAAGTTCAAGAATGAGGAGGTGGAGGAGGAGGTGGAGGAGGAGGAAGAGGACTGGGGGGAAGAGGACTTGGATGAGAGCAGCGTGACTCTCAGGTCTAAATTCCAGGAGTCGTGGCTTTGGAAGGACCTGCCTGTGCCCTCCAAAGCTGACCACAGCAGAGGGTACGAGGATTTTAGTCCTGTTCAGTCTCTTTAGGTGTACAACTAGTTCAGTCTGGTTTAGCCCTGGTTTAGCCCTAGTTTAGTCCTGGTTTAGCCCTGGTTTGCTAGAATTTCAATGGAATTCTGCCAAAATTAAGCCCTTAAAAAGCATTAAACTTAATTTCAAGTGGCATCAAAAAATATTGGCGGCTGTACCAAAAATATTTCTCATATCTAGCTCATATTTATTACAATACATTCAAGGAAGTAAATTTTGCTGTCGTAAATGCAGCCTATATGTTGCATAGCACGACCGGGACAGTAACATTTACACGCCATTAAGCCGAACACCGCCAGATCTTTATTCCCACTAGCAGGTAGTCATCTCCGGGTTTCTTGCTGATTATAGAGGCTAACTTTAAGTCCGGGAGCTGCACCCTGACTCAGGCAAAGAGAGCACCCTGACCGGGCAGAGCAAGTGCTCGAGGTGGACAGGTGAGGTGTGCATTGTGTTCCGATGTGGGGGCACACTTGTGGAACCTTGGGCTTGGAGCAGAAAAGTTGCCACTCTGATGTGAAACATGTCCTGCATGCCCACACTCGGACTCAGGCTGTTTGCTTGCATCACAGAACCAAGTGCCCCACATCAGGCTCTGGTAGTGCTGACTGTTAAACTTTGGTTTTGGCCTTTTATTTCTGTTTCTATAAATGTGTATGCTGCTTACATTCAAGTGCAGTGGACAAAGAAGAGAGAGTGTTGTGTCTAAAGTATGTACATCATACATATGATCCTGGGAGCTATGTTGTCGGTTATAGGGGCCCCACCCTGGAGCCAGGCCTTGGGTGGGTGCTTGGCGGTGAGCGTCTGGTGGCCAGGCCTTCCCCCATGGGGCCCGCCTGGGCACAGCCTGAAAGAGTGATGCGGGGCCGTCCTCCCCTGGACCCACTAGCCCTGGGAGGATCCATAAAGGGCCGGTGCAGGGAGATCTGGGCTGTAGTCGAAGGCAGGGGCCTTGACAACCGAATCTCCGAACATGGAGACTAGCTCTGGGGACATGGAATGTCACCTCAGTGGGGGGGAAGGAGCCCAAGCTTGTGCGGGAAGTTGATGTTACTGACTAGATATAGTCAGCCTCACCTCCACGCACAGCTTGGGCTCTGGAACCCAACTGAGGAAGGTTAGACTCCCCATTTCTTTGGCATTGCTTGCGAGGAGTGGCGGTGGGCTGATGTGGGTGTGGACCACAGCTCAGCTGCCACATGTTGGATTTCACCCTGGTGAACGAGAGGGTCACGTCCCTGCGCCTTCTAGTCGGGGACAGGTCTCTCACTGCATTGTACTGGTATTGGACACAGGATGTAAGGGATGCCGTCAGGCTGAAGAAAGAGTCCTGTTGGGTCTTGTTAGCACGTGGGACTCCTGAGGAAGCTGATGAGTACCAGCAGGCCAAGCATGGTGCAGCCTGTGCGGTCACAGAGGCAAAAACTCAAGGCTGGGAGGAGTTTGGAGAGGCCATGGAAGAGGACTATTGCACGGCCTCAGGAGGGGGAAACAGTTCTTCACCAACACTGTTTACAGTGTGGTGGGAGATGTTGTCAGACAGTAGGAAGGAATACTTTGAGGATCTCCTCAATCCCACCGTCACGTCTTCCAAGGAGGAAGCCGAGGCTGGGGACTCAGTGGCGGACTCGTCCATCACCTTGGCTGAAGTCACTAAGGTGGTTGGCAAGCTCCTCATTGGCAAGGCTCTAGGGGTGGATGAGATTCGTCCTGAGTATCTTAAGTCTCTGGATGTTATGGAGCTGTCTTGGCTGGCATCTCTCTGCAAAATCACTTGGCGGTCGGGGACAGTACCTCTGGAATGGCAGAGGCGGTGGTCCCTCTGTTTAAGAAGGGGAACTGGAGGATGCGTTCCAGCTACAGAGGAATCACACTCCTCAGCCTCCTCGGTAAGGTTCATTCTACTGGAGATTCTATACTGGAGTGGAGAATCTGACTGATAGTGGAACCTCTGGGAGTTTGGGGTTTGGAGCCCTTTGCTTAGGGCTGTCCGGTCCCTGTATGACCAGAGCAGGAGCTGTGTTTGCATTGCCAGCAGTAAGTCAGACCTGTTCCCAGTGCATGCTGGACTCCTCCAGGGCTGCCCTCTGTCACCAGTTCTGTTGTTTTTGTTCTATTGTTTTTATGGACAGATTTTCTAGGTGCAGTCAGGGGCCGGAGGGACCAGTTTGGGGACCACAGGATCATCTCTGCTGTTCTCAGATGATGTCCTGTTGGCTTCATCAAGCCAGGACCTGCAATGTGCACTGGGGTGGTTTGCAGCCGAGTGTGAAATGGCTGGGATCAAGATCAGCTCCTCCAAGTCCGAGGCCATGGTTCTCGACTGGAAAAAGGTGGCTTGCCCTCTCCAGGTGGGTGGAGAGTACTTGCCTCAAGTGGAGGAGTTCAAGTATCTCGGGGACTTGTTCTCGAGTGAGGGGAGGATGGAGCATGAGATTGACAGGCGGATCGGTGCAGCGACAGCAGTGATGAGGATGTTGTATTGGACCGTTGTGATGAAGAGGGAGCTGAGCCGAAAGGCAAAGCTCTCGATTTACGGGTATTCCTTGCAGCATGAGATAGTGCATTGTCATGCATGAAGATGATTTTGCTATGGAAAGCACAGTTCTTCTTTTTGTACCATGTAAGAACATGGTCAGTCATAAACTCCACATACTTTACAGAGGTCATTTTCACATCTTCACGGAGGTGGTGGCCATCCACCAACCATCCACCACTCCATCCATCTTGACCTTCCAGGGTTGCACGGCCCTCATCAAGGGAACAAGATTATTTGAAAATGAGTCTTCATGTATTTGTGGGTCCACTGGAGCTGTTTCTGCTTGTGAGCAAATTCAAGGTTTATGCATAACTGCAAGCCTTTGGAGCAAGGGTCTCAGACTCGCGGCCCGGGGGCCAACTGCGGCCCTCGGAAGGATTTTTTGCGGCCCGCCACTTAATTCCAAAGAATGTCAGTGCGGCCAGTGGCAGATGTACGCACAATCCCACCCACCTACCGCGGGCCGCACTGACAGATGAAGCTGCAATCGGTGCCCATGCAGATTCACAACAACAGATTATTAACGCAGTTTACATCCCAAAACTCTATTTACAGCAGTTGTGAAGCAAGGAGTCTAAGTGGATCTGTTAATACCAGTACATGTGCACAGACGGCGTCACCGAAGAACCAAAACAAACCACACATGGTGGTACACGTGTGCGCACTTCACTTCATGCTCCCACAACCACAGTATCAGAGCAGAGGAGACGCTGACAGAATCCCCCTGTTCATAAGTATGGGACCATTATTGGAGGGGCTAATAAGAAATAAAAAAAACTTTGACAATCTGTTTACCTGCTAAACACTCGGTGCGTAACTTGCTGGCAACCCGATGACCAAGCTCCACATATGTGTCGCTGAAATCCACGCACACTCAGCGGCAAACACAGCTGTCCCATCAATATGCAAGCACCACAAAACTGCAATGATCTATTCCAGAGGCTTGGCGACATGTTAGCAAAAAATACGAGGCAAAAACAAGCATCTTCCATCCATGTTTGACATATAAGAAGCAGATATACTCCAGTGTGGTCCGCTTTCACACCGGCAAACGAACCAAAACTGGTCCGATTAACGAGCCTCTGTATCCCGGTAGAACAGTGATACCTCCAGTAACCAACACTGATGTTCCCTGTTGATACCGGTCGTCCTCTCATCTTATCACCATGAACTCATAAAACAGCAACGTAACGTAGAACTTTGTACAAACTCACCGCATCAGCCCAGATTTCGGGTAACAGCAGCAGCCAACAGCGCTCCTCCGCGCTCAAGAACCGCGGCTGGTTCCGAGGTGGTGCAAAGCATCCGGACAGAAGCGTGAATCCAGTTTAGCTGGTGTCCGCCCTCCGCGCATTTGGTTCTTCCCGGGGAAAGCGCTTTTTACTCCCCGCTCCACGTCATCTGAGCCCGGCCTGAACCGGAGCTGCATCTTCGGGACTCTGGTTTGGATCTAGTCCGACTGTATTTCTCACACTAGGCTAAAAGCAGGACATTTTTTAAAGGTGAACCAATTGAATGGGCGATTGCCTATTGCCATAAAATTATTTAGTTAATTAAAGCCTAAAATAACAAATGCTGGTTCCTACATGATCACGGGGAACACCGGGACCTCTGTGCAGGTCCTGAACAGAAGTACACAACCCCAACTTTGACTCACTCTGGAGCCACACGTTCGCACGTACTTGCTCTGATCTTCGTGTGTTACATTCTCTGTATTGGCCATTGTTTGTAAAATAATTCGAAAATGAATCGCGGCTGCATCTAGACAACAATCTGTTACTGCGTTGGAGACGTACAGCGTGTCATTTCAGGCAAAGGAGACGCGTTTCCCCCATGATGCATTTCGAATAGTTCGTTTGGACCTGCTGTCTATGGTTTGGACCCGGGTTCGCGTTCACACCAGTGAAAGTGTGTGAAAGCACCTTCAAACTACAGGTCAAGGCTCACTGATAAGCATCTTCAATCTATCCTGAGGATCTCATGTGCTTCCTCCTGCAAGCCAAATATCTCTCAGCTGTGCAAGGTGAAGTGTAGCCAGGTTTCAACCAGAAAGAAGTAGGCAAAAGAAGAAGAGTAGACGTATTAGTTTAAACTTAAGTTCTAAATACATTTTCATGTTCTGAACTGTTCTTAAAGATTAAGAAAGTGTGTTGCGCGTTGTTCATTTTCTCTCTTCAATTCCCGCTTTTTATCGAATACTCAATGCGGCCCAGCCTCACTCAGACTTTATCTAATGTGGCCCCCAGGTAATTTGAGTTTGAGACCCCTGCTTTGGAGGATCCCACACCTTGATGTTTGTGGACTCCAGAGACACCAGCAGCTTCAAATACCTGTTTTCTGCTTTGTCATGGCATTTTAGCAGCTGCTCCCTTAATCCGTTGTATTTGTCTAGCAGAAACCTTCCTCATTGTGTCTTTAGCTGGACAAATCTGTGTGTGCTCTGAATCAGCTACAAATCTCTTAATATTATGACAATCATGCTTAAGTTTTCCTGAAATATCTATTTCACACTTTTTGGTGAGTTGCCTCTAGAGCTTAATACTGTGGAACATCCTTCTTAAGTAGTTTTTCCTTTAATTGGACTTACCTCGCAAACTAATTGGCACAAGTGTCTGAGATTGATTCATGACACTTAAACACAATGTGCACAATAATTTGGAATGTGGTGTATAGTGAGTCTGTCATTTTGGCTGGAAGCATTTTCAATAAATGCATTGATCTCTAATACAAAAGATATTGGGTGGAATTTGGTCCGAAACCTACATACATTTATAAATGTTTTGTATCATAATAACTATCTAAAGGTTCTTGTCATTCTGCTGAGTGTCACAAAATCGTCACTTTGACGAAGAAGAAAGCTTGAAGATGCACTGCTCAAGTTTTCTGGGGGTCCATAACCTGCTTGTTTTTATGGATATGCCATTGCTCTGCCTGGAATGTTCCACAATATGACAACAAACAGCTTTACATGACATTTATTAAATCACAGGTAGTTTTATTGCCCAGAAATACCTAGGAAAACAGGTGTATTGACTGTGTGTGAGGTCGCCTCTCCACAGATCTGACCTGTAACTGTAACCTGGTCTGGATTGGTCTACAATAAGACAGAAAGGTTTAATACCATACTGTGAAACATTACAGAGAAAAAAAAAATAAATATATATATATATATATATATATATATATATATATATATATATATATATATATATATATTCCATGGATATATATATAATTCCATGGATATATATTTCACGGACCCTCCACCAGAAAAGTTACACAATGCACAATTACACAAAGCATTAAATTTGGTTTGTTAACCCCTCCATAAACCCTGGATGTAGCCATGGTTTAGTCCTTGTTTAGTAGTGGTCTAGTTCTGGTTTAACCATGGTCTCTTGTCTTCTCAGCCTCTTCTCTTTAGTCTTTGTTTAATCCTAGTGCAGTCCTGATTTAGTCCTGTTTTAGTCCTTGTTTAGACTTGGTTATTCCTCTTTTAGTCCTGGTTCTGGTCTAACCCTGGTTTCTTCTCCTCAGGCTCTCCTCTCTGAATCTAGAGGAGCCCCTGCCTGACAGTATCACAGAGTGGGGCATCATGGCCATCAGCACCTCAGCTCAAACAGGTCTGGATTTATTTACTGTATTTACAACAAAAGTCCTGGTCTAAACGAAATCACATTTTACCATCTTGACAGAGACGCCATTTTGGCAGAAGGTGGATTAGCAGTAATGAATGGTACCAAGTCACTTTTGGAGATTTTTTTGTCATTAAGGGAAATTGTAGGCAATGATTTAGTTTAAAATGAATCATATTAATATATTAGGGTAGATCTGACGTAGATTTTGCCTTAAGGGTCAGTCCATATGAAATCAGCCGCCCTCCCCTATGAGTCGTCTCAGATTTGGCAGAAAAAAATTCTAAAATTACCAAATTAAAAATCTCAAATTTTAACTCAATCCCTTCAGTTGTTCCTGAGTTATGGCCCGTTGAAATTTTGGAGCCATGCTCACTTTTTCTGATGCTAAAGATGCTAAATACTTATTTTCCCCCATTTTATGAATAAATTAGCATTAACAACAGGTTTGATTGACAGCTCGTGCGTTTCGTTGCTAAGCCCCCTTCCCGCTCTCCTGCTCCTTCCACTGTCGGGGGCTCACCCCATTTTGAAAGGTTAGAATGACATTTACATTTATCCAATGACAGCACAACTTTTCTGGGCTTTAGCCAGATCCACGGCTTTAACAAGTGGATCAAGACATTTAATAAAACTATCACTGGACTGCTGCCATTTTGTTTGTGGATTTAACTATGTTGGATGACAGTTCGTTAAGGAGCATCTAACAACTTTAACATGTTAGACAACTTTTTTCAGGTTGTTGTACTTTTTAATTTGTTCTGTTAAAATATAGTGAGAGAGATTCATTTACTGTTCATCATGGCTTGTTCAGCATTTAATTGTGTCAATAAACCTTCAAAGACCCTGATGTGCAGTTTTTCCAGTAAGTAAAATATATAAAATAAACTGATGGTAATTGATTTATTAGTTAAATAACCTGTATGGATGTGTAAACACCTAGTTTTGACAAATGTGAAATTCTTGCCCATCAAGACTAATTTAAGATGACTCACTCTTCAATCTTACAGCAATGCATAAAATGCACATTTGAAGTGGCAGTGCTCCACACACAACCATAGACCGCACATATACACAAAACGGTGAAAGCTACTGGAAGTATTGTCTTTTATATTTTTCTGTAATACCAGATTTATACAGATTATTTTATTCACACAGGTCGGCACATTGAATGACCTCAATCTTGATTGGCTCTTGTGGTTGCTCTGATGCTCACGGTCGGATTTCCAAATATGGACCCTGGCTCCAAATTCACTCCTGTAGCCGTTAGCATCAGGAGCCTCATTTGAGTGGCGCTGAACGTTATGGGTGACATCATACTCACTTAGTCCACTTCTTTTATACAGTCTGAGATCAATGTCGCATGACTCCAGATCAGCCTAGCCCAGCTAGGTTCTTCCGGTGGCTGTGGGCCGATTGAGCATGCGCAGTAATGCTCTTTTCTCCCGCGGGCAAAAGCGAATGCACGTGAGTGTACGCATGGAGCTCGGTCTTGTGTATCACGTGATCGCTTTGACCAATCAGAGCAAGAGGAGCTAGAGCAGAGCAGAGCCGGAGCTAATGATTATAAAGTGTTTTTTAAGACAACTGTAGGATTTTGAGCTGAGAAAAAGTTTATGATCTGAAAATAGGTTAAAAAAAATCTCCACAAAATCCAACATTTTTGAAAGTTGTAGGTCCCTGTCAGCCGAACACGAGCAGTTTGTGATTACATTGTGCTCTTTGAGAAAAATCCTCTCTCAGTCCAGGGAATTTTTTGCTGTAGTACCAGTGAGTGTCACTACTTCAACTGGAGGCAGCTACAAGCAGCAACACTCTATCCGGTTATTTTAATATATCCATGTGCTAAGCACCTGCTTCCAGGCAAACCAGCAGGAAGGGGCATTACCTTCAACAGCCTCACTCCTGATTGGCCCTTTGTTGCTTGGATTTCTAAATATGGATTTTGGCTCTAGATTAGCTGCTATATGTGCTAGCCTCGTTACCTCCATTTGACAGGAGCTGAACTCTATGGGTGACGTCACACTCCCTCAGTCTTCTTGTTTATACATAATGTCTGACACGGTCTCTTGTTTTTCGCTGCAGGCTTCTGTGTGGCAGAGCCTTATAACGTCCGAGCCTGGAAGCCCCTCTTTGTGGATCTGAAGCTGCCGTACTCTGTCGCCCGAAATGAACAAGTGCAGATCCGAGCCGTGGTCTACAACTACTCCCCCGACAACAGAGAGGTCTGCAACTAGTCCTGGTTTAATCCTGGTTCAGCACTGGTTAAGTCCTAGTTGAGTTCTGGTTCAGTCTTGGTTCATTGTTCACTGTTTATTTAGTATAATCCCCATTAGATGTATCCTAGGGCCTGCTAGTCTTCCTAGGGTCCTTCATTTAAAAACTCTTTATGGTTTTCATTTCATGATATTTCATTCAAGATATGTTTTAAACTCCTAGTACCTGAACTCTTGTATAGCATGCTTTATTGATTTCTCTTGGGCACTTGGGCTGATTGGGACTTGATGAAGCAAAAGCAAAGAATTATATTTTTACATGATGTAGTTTCTGAGAAAAATTATGTTCACATAGGATATATAAAACATTCTTTTTATGTTTTAATTATTTTGATGGAACACAATAAAGTCACAGTTGAATAATGATTTGCAAAAACTATTAAGTGCCTGAACAACTCAAAATGCGTTGGACATATTTGTCCACATATGTGGACGCCAGGTCCTAGGAGGCTACAAAAATATATAAATAGTGAATGAATTCATTAATAAATATAATTATTAAAAATATTAAATATACAGGGGGCAATTCATCCTTACACAATTACATAATTACAGTGAGGAAAATAACACCCTGCTATTTTGCAAGTTCTCCCACTTAGAAATCATGGAGGGGTCTGAAATTTTCATCGTAGGTGCATGTCCACTGTGAGAGACAGAATCTGAAAAGAAAAAAAAAAAAAATCCAGAAATCACAATGTATGATTTTTAAACTATTTATTTGTATGATACAGCTGCAAATAAGTATTTGAACACCTGTCTATCAGCTAGATTTGTGACCCTCAAAGACCTGTTAGTCCGCTTTTAAAAAGTCCACCTCCACTCCATTTATTATCCTACATCAGATGCACTTGTTTAAGGTCGTGAGCTGCATAAAGACACCTGTCCACCCCATACAATCAGTAAGACTCCAACTACTAACATGGCCAAGACCAAAGAGCTGTCCAAAGACACCAGAGACAAAACTGTACACCTCCACAAGGCTGGAAAGGGCTACGGGGAAATTGCCAAGCAGCTTGGTGAAAAAAGGTCCACTGTTGGAGCAATCATTAGAAAATGGAAGAAGCTAAACATGACTGTCAATCTCCCTCGGACTGGGGCTCCATGCAAGATCTCACCTCGTGGGGTCTCAATCCTAAGAAAGGTGAGGAGCCCAGAACTACACGGGAGGAGCTGGTCAATGACCTGAAAAGAGCTGGGATCACCGTTTCCAAGGTTACTGTTGGTAATACACTAAGACGTCATGGTTTGAAATCATGCACGGCACGGACGGTTCCCCTGCTTAAACCAGCACATGTCAAGGCCCGTCTTAAGTTTGCCAATCACCATTTGGATGATCCAGAGGATTCAAGGGAGAAAGTCATGTGGTCAGATGAGACCAAAATAGAACTTTTTGGTCATAAATTCCCTAACTGTGTTTGGAGGAAGAAGAATGATGAGTACCATCACAAGAACACCATTCCTACTGTGAAGAATGGGAGTGGTAGCATCAGGCTTTGGGGGTGTTTTTCTGCAAATGGGACAGGGCGACTGCACTGTAAGGAGAGGATGACCGGGGCCATGTATTGCAAGATTTTGGGGAACAACCTCCTTTCCTCAGTTAGAGCATTGAAGATGGGTTGAGGCTGGGTCTTCCAACATGACAATGACCGGAAGCACACAGCCAGGATAACCAAGGAGTGGCTCTGCAAGAAGCACATCAAGGTTCTGCCATGGCCTAACAAGTCTCCAGACCTAAACCCAATAGAAAATCTTTGGAGGGAGCTCAAACTCTGTGTTTCTCAGCGACAGCCCAGAAACCTGACTGATCTAGAGAAGATCTGTGTGGAGGAGTGGGCCAAAATCCCTCCTGCAGTGTGTACAAACCTGGTGAAAAACTACAGGGAACGTTTGACCGCTGTAATTGCGAACAAAGGCTACTGTACCAAATATTAACATTGATTTCCTCAGGTGTTCAAATACTTATTTGCAGCTGTATCATACAAATAAATAGTTAAAAAATCATACGTTGTGATTTCTGGATTTTTCTTTTCAGATTCTGTCTCTCACAGTGGACATGCACCTACGATGAACATTTCAGACCCTCCATGATTTCTAAGTGGGAGAACTTGCAAAATAGCAGGGTGTGCAAATACTTATTTTCCTCACTGTATATAATTATATTACGTTGTTATATAAGTCCTGGTCCAGTCCTGGTCCAGTCCTGGTCCAGTCCTGGTCCAGTCCAGTCCTGGTTCAGTCCTGGTCCTTCTGTGTGTTAGGTGCGTGTGACTCTGAAGAGGACAGAGCAGATGTGCAGTGTTGCGTTCAGGGACAGCTTCATTCAGGAGGTGTTGGTGGAGTCTGGTTCCTCTGTGGTTCTGCCCTTCACTGTGGTGCCTCTGGCTGTGGGACACCTGCCCCTCGAGGTGATAGTGGTCACCAAAGACATGATGATGACCGACGGTGTCCAGAAGAACCTACGCGTGGTGGTGAGAGACTAAATATTACTACTACTACTACTACTACTACTATTTCTACTGTTGCTACTACTACTGCTAATACTACAACTTGTACAAAACTACACCATCAACACTTATGCGCAAAGCACATAAGAACCTACGCATGGTGATGAGAGACAAAATACTATTACTACTACTACTACTGCTATTGCTACTACTACTATTATTTCTACTGTTACTTCTATTGCCAGTGTCACAACTACTACTATCGCATTCAGTGCTATACCACCCAGTGATGTGCAGTGAGGTTTACAGCTGATGAGGCAAAGTGCATCTTATATTTTCTTTACAAACACATAAGAATCACCTTTATTAATAAAAGCATTCAGTTTTAATGATTATCTTGGTTTAGAAATAAAAGGGGAAGAATGAAAAACAAAATTCAGACTTGAGGCTTGAAATCTGATTATCTGCATTAAAGACGAGTGAATAAACTAACCGAGCTAATCTCCATTATGTCACTGGTGAGTCGGTGAGTACATAGCCTTCCTGTAAATAATTTGTGGACAGAATCTACACATTAGGACTGTAGTTAATGTGTTTGCTAATGATTTCTTTAGTTGTAAAAATGCTCAGTTAAACTGTGCACTGAATTTTGACACGGTCTAGATTTATAGTCCATATTTCTGTAATAAATGTGTGGCCACATACATGCCCCGCACGGAGACAGAAGCAGAGCGTGAGAAGCTAGTCTGGTCAAATGCTGTTTAATGTCAGATTAACTCACTAAATGTGCTCCTTTGTGCACAATATTATTTATCTTGATGATAAGAAGACAAAGCACTTGAAAAAAGTTCACATATAAGGTATTTGTTAACTGTAAAGTAATGTTGTGTAGTGTTGAATGACCGCACCCTATGCAGTGTTGAACGGGCACGCCCTGTGCAGTGTGATTGTGTTCCAACCACAATAAACTGTCAAATCAAAGAAAACACAATTTAAAAAGATTGGCTAAGTAGCGTCCAATGGGGAGGCTTAACTCACACATGATTGGTTTGTATGTCCCTTGGTACATTAATACAGTGCTGTAAAGGCCGCCACACATTGCAGGATTTTATATGGCGCGTACCATTTATAATAGTTCTATGCAAACCACAGGCTATAAAGTGGTGACCTCGCATCAGCTGTTTCCTGCATAAAGTCAAACCACTCACTTTGAAACTCTTAAGTGTTTGAAAGATCAGAGCTCTGCACTTGTAGTTTAGATACAAGTCAAAACTGTGTTATTATTATTTGTGAAATGTGGTGCAGTACTTTAGATACAGGATTTTTAAAGCATAAAAAATTGGCAATAAAGTGCACAGGAAGTAGAGTCACTACACAGAGAGTCATAGTGTGTGGATGTAAACAGACACATGTGAGGAATTACTTTTTACCTTTTTCTACACCTTTTTACTTTCAAAGAACGCTTCAAACAGGATTCGTAGCACAGATTTTATATCCCTAAAATGACTGGTGAGACACCTCACCTCCCTCCCCTGACCTCATGTCGCTGATACCACCAACACAACATAAGCACAAACCACAGGAAGAACCTACAGGTGGTGCTGCGGGACTAAATACTACAACGACTACTACTACTGCTACTACGACTGTTACTACTACTGTTACTATTGCTACTATTATTGCTACTACTACTGTCCAAGATTGATGATGTGTATAATTCAGTTCAGAGTGTGCTATATTAAGCTGCCGTTATAAATGAACAGAATGCATTATTAACATGTCTTTTACTACTTTTGTTGCTTTTACATGCTACTGTTATTAATGTGCTACTACTGTACTACTGCGAGTATTACATCTAGCAGTACTTAAAAGTTGTAGTATAAGTTGTAGTTTAGTTGTGAATAGTTTTTGGTGATTTGAAACGTGTGCCTGTGGTTCTGTCAGATGGAGGGAGTGCAGAAGACCAAAGTGTGGAGTGTGGTGCTGAACCCTGCAGCTGAAGGAGGTCTGTTCATTTTGATTCTTCTTCACGTGTGGTTCACTTTAAACTCAGGAGTTCTGTCACTGTTATAACTCAACTGTTCTGTTCTTCTGTTTTTGTTGTTGTTGTGTTGTTCTGTTTTTTGTTGGTGTGTTGTTCTTTTGTTGTTTTGTTGTGTTGTTCTTTTGTTGTTGTGTTGTTTTTTGTTATGTTGTTTTTTTGTTCTGTCTTTTGTTGTTCTGTTGTTGTTTTGTTATTGTGTTGTTCTTTTGTTGTTCTGTTGTGTTGTTGCTTTGTTGTTTTGTCTTTTGTTGTTCTGTTGTTTTGTTTTTGGTGTTCTGTTGTGGTGCTGTTGTTTTGTTTTTTGTTGGTCTGTTGTTTTGTTGTGCTGTTGTTCTGTTTTGTTCTTGTTTTGTTGTGTTGTTGTTTTGTTGTTGTGTTGTTCTGTTTTTTGTTGTTCTGTTGTTGTTTTGTTGTTGTGTTGTTCTGTTGTTGTTTTGTTGTTGTGTTGTTCTGTTTTTTGTTGTTCTGTTGTAGGCACTCAGACCGTGCGAATGGGGAAGATCGAACTGGACTCTGTGGTGCCAAACTCGGTCCCAGAAACCTTCATCAACGTCCGAGGTCTGACGCAGCATTTGTAAAGCATTTTTGGACCTGACTTCATCCTGGTGTACTCCTGGTTTAGTCCTGGTTTAGTCCTTATTTAGTCCTGGCTTAGTCCTGGTTTAGTCCTGGTTTAGTCCTTATTTAGTGCTGAGTAAGTCCTAGTTTGGATTTGGTTTAGTCCTGTATTAGTCTTGGAATAGTCCTTGGTTAGTCCTGGGTTGGTCCTGGTTTAGTCCTGCTTAGTCCTGCTTTAGTCCTGGTCTAACCCTCTCCTCTCTCCAGGCAACGTGCTCGCAGACAGTCTGGATAACTCCCTGAACCCGGACTCTCTGGCAGCTCTGATCCGGATGCCTGGGGGCTGTGTGGAGCAGAACCTGGCCTCCATGTCTCTGCCCACCATCGCCTTCCTGTACCTGGAGAGGACGGGCGACTGGGGGAGAGTGGGCGCACACCGCAAAGACGAGGCGCTCGGCTTCATACGAAAAGGTAACACAATATATATAACTTTTGAATTCAAGGTCTAGGTGGGGTTGTCGAAAATCAGATACCAATTCCTGTCCGATATCATAGTGTGAAGAAGTACATTTAGGCTACTTCATTTTGTAACGTACAAGAGTAAAAAAATAAATCTTCTGTAGTGTGAGGACATGGCCTCACGCCGGGGCACCAAAATATGTAGTGAAATCTACATGGGCTCACATGGAGGTACCATTAGATGTAGGGGGGTAATTGATGTTACAGATTGGAATTTAGGAGTTCTAAGTTAAAGCAGCACTCATGTGGCCTTTGTGAGTGTTCGGCTCTGACTAGTAAGTAAAGTAAATTTGGGGGCATCACTCAACAAATGTTGAGAAATATCACCAATTCAATTTAATCAATTACCTGTGTTAATTAATTAATTAATAATTAATTAAACAATTGATCTGGTTTGTAAATTCTTGTCCATATCAGTGACCTGTATCTTGGAATGATCACTGGAAATAACATCACTGTTCACCAAAGCAAACTGTGGTTTATGAATATTTGTTGACCAAGTTAAACAGACAGCATTTAAATATCAAATATGCACATGAGTGTAGGTCACTCTGAACTGGTGTCTAGAAATATGAGATTAGGCACAACTTTTAGAGTTATCTAAACTTCTGTGTTCAGTGCCCATATAACTCGGGGAGCATGGAGCTGTCCAGTCACAATGTGGTCCTGTTGGATCCAATGAAGGTTTGAGTTTCTCAGGAGGTTGGTTCTGAAGAATCAAACGCAATGAAACGGACGAAGGCCACGTGATAGGATCAATCTTCCAGGCTCAGTCGGTGTCAGGCTGAGGGACACTCTCCTCTGTTCCAGAGGATTGGAGAACACGTTTCATTGTCTACGAGGTCTAACAGCACTGGTCACAGATTAAGGCTAATCAATCAAAAGACTATGTCTGCAAAAATGCAAATGTTTAAATTTGTAAAAATATGAAAGCTTCGCTTTCAAATCAGATCAGCTACAGGTATTTGAATAAAAACACGTCAAGCGACGGGGACAGCTTCGAACGGAGGGAGAACTTGGGCGTTGTCCTTCCTGTTCGACTCTACTACATCTTGAACATTCTGAACTGAACTGCTTCTGCGATCTTCTGTTGATGAACTGAGATCTGAGCTAAGGTCTGTCTTTCTCCTCTTCAGTCTTAAGTTAGGCGGCAAAGAGGTGTGTGGTTGTGTGAGCTATAATGTGAGGAATGTGAGTTTGTGTGGGGAGTGTTATGACACAGCTCTCATATTACACACTACGAACATTAACAGTTTTACACAAATAAAGTGTTCACATGACATTTACAAATCAGTACTAGAACACACTGGCCATAGTTCATCGAATGAATTGACCGTTTCATTCCTTTACTTTCTCTGGAGAAAGTCCATTGGCCTGAGATTTAGAGATTGTTCCATCAAAAGGGTAGGGAAGGGTATAGTGTCTCAAAGTTAACCCCTGTCAGAGGCGTTGTCTAAACTTTGTTCAAGTCTGTTCCCTAAGATTCGATATCATGGTAACAGCCATGATTTCACATCTTTCATAGGTCAGAGGTCAGTACTCTTACACTTCTAAAAGGCTATTTTTAAAGAAATGCCAGAATGAATAAAAGAACTAAGATATTAGTGAAATGTATAATGATCTTGATGATACGTAGTGCTGATTTAAGCACTTTCACTTTCTTCCAGTGCGGATAAAAACAAGGCCTGTACAAAACTGTTCATCCTCGGATCACATGACGATGCAGAGTAAACAAAGTCCGAGTTAGCCCTGTTGCTGTTGCTGCTGTTATTGGGCTACACTCTCAGTTATTTTAAAAGTTGAACACACTAAAGGCTAAATGAAATGATCAAAGATGTTACACAAATCTATGTTTAACCTGCTCTGTGAGTTAGCGGTTGTATTATTCACCGAGGTAAACAGCAGCAGCTCACATTTATAGGTATTCATTCAGGAAAATACATAGTGACAGATCGGTGATTTGGTCTCAGTACTCGCCGATACCTGAAAAATGTGCAGTAAAATCTGTCCTTATTATTTTCAGGCTACACGGATCAGCTGGCTTACAGGAGGAGTGACGGCTCATACCCCCCCTACCAGAAGCAAGGGGCAAGCACATGGTACTGTCCACAACTGCACATGTCAACATTATCAGTTAATCGGTCACAAAAAAAAAGTAAATAAATAATAATAATGACAAATTTCATACATTTTGACTTAACAAAATTATATGTAAATCCTTCCATCCATACATGAATACATTTTCTTTCGCTTATCCCGGGGCCGTGTCACGGGAGCAGCAGTCTAAGCAGGGACTCCCAGACTTCCTCCACCCCAGACATGTCCTCCAGCTCCTCTGCGGGGGACACTAAGGCCTTCACAGGCCAGCCAAGATACATAGTCCCTCCAGTGTGTCCTGGGTCTTCCCCGGGGCCTAAATGTAAACACTAAACTACTTAATAGGGAGTATTATGCTAAATGTAAATTTTTTACCATGTTATAATGTTCGCTCATCAAAAAATCTAGCGATCTCTCCTGGGCCATATTCAAACCTTTATTATAGTTAGCTACTATAAGATTCTGTCCAAGGCTCCACCCACAAGCCTACATCACCCATGTGTCCACATGAAGTAAAATACCCCCTTTTAACTTTATCATTCAGAATGTTTGAATTTTCTGGGTCATTTGTATTTATAGGCCTATATTTTGGTCACTCATACACTGACCTGAAGTCAAAATGTACATCACCATAAATGTAGAAAAATACTTGTATTCAGTCCTTTTGAGAAATGCAGTGAGTACAAAGTGCAGATGCCTGCTGTCAAATGCAGTGAAATAAAACTACAAGTATCCATTGTAATATTCACTAAATGCACAAATCCTTAACAGTTATACTTAAAACAGTACTTCCTTATGCATTAGATGAATAAAAAGAGGTAGAGCGCTTCAATGGGTCACAAAAGAGTTAAAAATAGCAGTACAGGTGCTTTACGGGGGTTAAAACTGTAATTTTTAAACAAAAAGTTACTCTTACTGGAAAATGTAAAAGTGGGCAAGATACAAACCCGAGGCACTCTAACTGAATATATTAAAAGTCCTTTATTGCATATTCCTCTCTCTTATATAAGATTTTAAAGTGGCTTAAGTCATTTTCACACACACAATGCCACACAGCTCTTCTCCAGACATTCTGCTGCCTGGTCGTTTGTGAGAATGCTTGCACCAACCGTGTCCTCTCTGGACATTAGTGTATAGTTCAGTGTGTGCAGTGAATGACGCCTCAAAATCCTCAGATCAATAACAACTTCATCCCGTACCTGTATCTCTCTTGTATCTGTGTGAACCTCTGTTGCAGCGTGGCGCTCTTACGTCTTTGCCTCCTCCCCACGCCCTTTATTTCTCTAGGTGTGTGAATCCATATACGTGCAACAGGCTTCTATGATGAAGATGTGTATGAATCAAATTTTGGGACATGATTTTGCTAGGATCTTCCACACCTTGTGGTGGTGTGTGAAAATAGCTTCACTGTTCCACAATCTTTTAATTCCAACTTACACACATTAACTGCAACAACAAAAATACTATGCTGCTTTACATGTGTTCAAACATTAGTATTTTAAAACATGTCACACTCTCTGACTGACACGCTCAGTATGATCAGGGAATTGATTGTTCTGTGGTTAGACGTGCTTTGCTCAGTTTGCACTTCTCTGTCTCCTCTTGTGTCTCAGGATCACTGCGTTTGTAGTGAAGGTCTTCTCCATGGCTCACTCCATCATAGGAGTGGAGGAGCAGCAGGTCTGTGAGCCTCTGCTGTATCTGCTCCAACACCGACACAAGCCAGAGCGTAGCGTGTTCATAGAGGAGAACCCGGTCTACAGCACCACCATGACGGTACTGCATCCTCTGGTCCTCCGACTCTTTCTTCTGCATCCTCTGCTCCTCTGACCCTCTCCTCTGTATCATCTGACCTTCTCTACTAGTGCATCTCTGCACTATAATCACTTAAATGGTTAAATGGCTAATCAGTTGTTTTATGATTGTTTGTTTTAGGGCGGTCTCCGTGGTGATGACCCCCAGGTGACCCTCACGGCATTTGTCTTGATTGCTTTGGCTGAAGCAAAGGAAGCCAAGATTCACTGCAGTGACGACGAGGTCAACACAGAGGTGAATAAATATATATATAGTATAATATATAGTATAATATAATATATATATATATATATATATATATATACACACACACACACACACATATACATACATATATATATACATATATATATATATATATATAAAACAGGTAAACATCCTCAGTGCGCGCTAATTAGAAGAGCAAGACCAAACGTGAAGCAAAAACTAATCAAAATTTATGCTAGTGTCAACACAGCAGGCATACTGCAATAGGCGGGCTGAACTTTGCCTAATAAAATGGCAAATAAATCTATGTTTGGCACGATGCGGTATATGTGCAAAGGTAAATTCCACTGTAAAACCAGTAGGAGAATGTAACTCCAGTTAGGATTTTGAAAAAAACAGGTTTAAATCCTACCCACTTTCTTCACTTTAAAGCAGATTAAACTTTTCTGTAAAGTGCCAGTGGATGTGGAATTAAAGAAGGGCTTTAATGTGGGAAAGGGTCCAAAAAATGGGCACAGCGTTTAAGTGCAATACAGTTTGCTTGGCTTATTTTAGGCCTAAATGAACATTAATCAGTTTTATAAAAACATTGGTATGTATGTGCCAAATTAATTGTAAAATACAAATAACTGTAGAAAATGGCAAAGATGGTCTCGATTTGGTCTCGATGGGCTGTGGTCTCGTTCTTGACCATCAGAGGTCTTTGTCTTGTCTTGGTCTCAGGACCCTGTGGTCTCAGACAAGTCTTGGTCTCAATTAGTGTGGTCTTGATTACAACATTAGTGCATATATCTCCATCCCCAACCCCCCAAACACACACCTGAGGCCATGTCACCCCTCGCACACCCTTCTCAACTTTTTCATCCCTAACCCGTTGCCATGCCTGTAGAATGATCTTGAGTTGTATCAGATTAAGTATAAGAGCACATAGACTAATATACACCCATGGACCACTATGAACCTACCTGGACACTGAGGGATTACACACATATAAGAACATATATAAGTTCTATGATTTAATGTTGAAAATCGCATTCAGTTGTCTCAATGAAGAGTGTTTTTATTATCATCCTGGTATCGGAATCAGTATTGAGTATTGAGTGTATTCCTTAGTTACTCAAAATCAAGTTTGACATTTCAGTATTGTGACAGCACTAGTGTCTATGGGACTGTAACTCTGTGTGTATCCTCAGGCGGTGATCCGTAACACCACAGCCTACCTGAAGAAGGCGCTGCAGGTCACGCGGCGCCCGTACACTGTGGCCATCGCATCGTACGCTCTGGCTCTGCTCAAGGACCAGGTGGACTTCAGCCCAACACCAGCGCTGCTCAAAGCCTCCTCTGCTGGTACACTCACACAGAGAGACAGGCTCATGACACTCAGATTTACTCAGCTAATGGTCCTGTGCCACTCCACAGTTTGCACGTTGTAATTATAATCTGTGTATGGATAGCAAATGAAAATAATTTAACCCTGATTCCTCCATATTTTTAGAACTGTGCAGTTATTAATGAGCCCATATTACATGTTGTTTCCTCAACACAAACAGACCTGGAAACAGACAGACCTTTTGTATGACCGTCACACCCATATCTCGACTGCATGCCTGGATAGCACACCGGTGCAGACGGAGGCAGAGGCTGACCACACACAGCTCGTCCCACACTTTAAGTGTTGGTGAGGTGGAGACGTCTTCCGGCCGTAAGAGGGAAGATACATTTGATGCTCTCCTTGAGATAGCTACTGCTTTGTAGCTCCTCTCAGTTAACATCATTTGGAAACAATCTTCTTTGGGGGGGAGAACAGGACCTGCCTGGTCAGGACTTCTGCGGGTGGAGGTGAGATGCCAAAGTTCAATAGGGGAAAGGCAGCTAAAGTCTTTCTCCTCTATGCCATCTCAGTCTAAAACTGCCTCTCCCGGGGCAGGGAGTTTTGACAGTGAGCGGGTTATTGCAGGACCGCATGGCTTCCTTAAGGCACTCTGGGAATGTTGGTAGGAGTGGCTTTGCTGAGGTTTTGGATGCTGGTATCCTTCTGCCCTCATAGCAGGGCCATTTGATACCCAGTTTTTCAGCTGCTCTTTGACAAACTTGATGAAAGTTCTGAACCGGTAGATGGTTCTTGCTGCCTGATGTTGTTCCGCTACCATACCTTGTGGTCTGGGTGAGGGTGAATTGCTCCATGCTTGCCTCATCCCCCTCCAAAAGGAGGCTGATGAACTCGTCATCAGAGTCTGAGTTGACAAGAGGATCTACTTTGTTGCGCTGGTTGCCCCAAGAGAGTCCTGTGGGGATTGATACCCTGGGATTCTTCTCCTCTTGTGGCAGAGGATGGTTGCCCATAGCACAAGGTCCGCTTCTGTCAGACTCTCTTGGCGCATGAGCGGTTTTTCAGCAAAAGGCGGGCATAGTGCTCGTAGGACGCCTGGGATGCTAGTGCATCCCAGGTATGTTGCAGCCCAAGGCACTGTGCACAGACAAGATGACTGTCTGCCCCAGCAATTTTACTCCCACACTTGGAAGTCTTTGTAAGTACCTGCTTCTCCATCTTGAGGAGAATTTAGCACAATTTTAGCTCTGAGGTAAAACAACAAACAAATATAGCAGCCATATGGGGACAGTCCTGCTACCTCCAAAATAGTGAAGCAACAATAGATAAGCACTCAGCGACAGTGATTAGCTCTCCCTATGAACAGTTAACCTAACACGTTAGTCAGAGATGCTGGGATCTTATAGCAGGATGAAGTCCCGCCTCCCTGTGGAACATATGTCATGTCTTCCAGTCAATCTGGGACTGACATAGTCTTGTAAAGCTGGAGGACCAGCTTGGAGAGAACCATGGAGTTTTGATGACATTATTACCGCTGTCAGGGAAATAAAGATGCGGATCAAGTTAACACCTGACTGAACAGGATACTCGAGTACAGTATACCAGAATAAATACATTTAGCGTTAAATGTGTGTTAGCCTCAACTCCACTGTTTTTTTATGATCTGTCCCAGAAGCTGTGATATTTTTGTCTAACAGCAATCAGCAATTTCCTCCTCTCCTCATGTCTTGCCATGGCCTATTTCTCTCATTTTGAACTTTTTTCTGGAGGTTATTGTGTTCATGGTCAGCACGCTACGGAAGCTTGTTTAGGTCAAAAAGTCCATGTTGGACTGGATTGAAACTGGTTAGTGTTCACATCACAAGAGAGCTGCACTGGAGTCCGCTTGGTTTCGTTAGTCCGCACCAAATGAAACTGGTCTGCTTTCACACCTGGCCAAACAAATCGAACACGCAAGTGTTTTGAACTCGAGACACTTGAAGCGGACCAAATGGTTTAGGTGTGAAAGCCCCCTTAACTGAATCCCTGTTGCTGTGTCCAGGTGGCAGTCAGTGGGTGGACAGTGAGAATCACCTCTTCACTCTGGAGGCCACAGGCTACGCTCTGCTCACTCTGCTCAAGATGAACGCCATGACAGAGGCCGCTCCACCGTTTAAATGGTTAAACAGCCAACGCAGGCAGGGAGGGGGCTACGGGTCCACTCAGGTGCGTCAGATGCCCTCCCATCCTCCTATGTACCTGTGTGTCAGATGCCCTCCCATCCTCCTCTATGCTCCCCTGTATTGTTAGGTATACAGGAGGTCAGATGTCTCTATTTCATCTGCAGTTTGTCTGTGTTTTGGTTTTGGTTTTGTTGGACAGATAATAATAATAATAAAAATCTATGTTCTCTCACATGTCTGCAGCCCACAGTGGTGGTTCTCCAGGCCTTGTCCGAGTACCTGATCAAACAGCCACCTTCACAAAACCTAGATCTGAACGTGGACGTCCGAATGGGAGCTCGCACAATTCCATATCATTTCAACCCAGACACCTCCTACGCAGCCCGCACAGCCCGGGTAAGAGCCAGAGGAGCAGAGACCAGAGGAGCAGAGACCAGAGGAGCAGAGACCAGAGGAGCAGAGGACAGAGGAGCAGAGGCCAGAGGAGCAGAGACCAGAGGAGCAGAGGCCAGAGGAGCAGAGACCAGAGGAGCAGAGACCAGAGGAGCAGAGACCAGAGGAGCAGAGACCAGAGGAGCAGAGACCAGAGGAGCAGAGACCAGAGGAGCAGAGCTAGATCAGCAGAGACCAAAGGAGGGATAGTGACAGTACAGAGAAGAGTAGAAGGAGGCTGAGGTTAGGAAGCAGGAGTCCTAGAGGAAGACCAAAGAGGAGATTTAAGGATGTAGTGGAAGACGACATGTTACCTGGATACGAGAGGGTCAGATGGAGCAGAGGAGAGGGTCAGAGGAGCAGAGGAGAGGGTCAGAGGAGCAGAGGAGAGGGTCAGAGGAGCAGGAGAGGGTCAGATGGAGCAGAGGAGAGGGTCAGAGGAGCAGAGGAGAGGGTCAGAGGAGCAGAGGAGAGGGTCAGAGGAGCAGGAGAGGGTCAGATGGAGCAGGAGAGGGTCAGATGAAGGTCAGTATAAATGCATATATTTTGTTTCATTTTGTATTCACAGCTTCTTAACAATGCGGATCTGGAGGTGCAGGCTCGAGGGAATGGACAGGGAATCCTTGAGGTGAGTTTGTGAACTGTTGTTCTTGTGTCTGCTATACAGTTATGGATCTATGACACCTATGGATCATTATGTAATAATGTGGACTCTTTAAATCACAATATTCAACTGAAACAACTCCAATGACTTAGAATTAGAACTAGAAAACTGCAGTGCCCAACGGGAACTGACATCACTGCAAACATCACAACAAAGAGCTGTGCAGCTGTTGGCTCCTCCTTTGTTCAGCTGCACATCACAGTTGCAAGTAGCAGATGTTTTTCATTTGTACCAAAATGTGCCTCTGCTGAATCATATGCTTATCAAAGACTGAGAAAATAAAATTGGAGAACTAAGTAAGTATAGAGCAGTGGGTGTGAAAATCAGATAATAATTGATACTAAAATTAGTATTGAATCTCGATATTTATTTGAGTATCAATACTGAAAAAGTCCCTTTCACAGGAGAGAAATTAAGCTTTCCTGAATGGCTTTTGAGTGATCTTGAGCTGTATCAGATCAAGTATAAGAGCACATAGACTAATATACGCCCACGCACACTATGGAACCCACCTGGGCCACTGAGGGAATACACACACATAAGAACACATGGTAACATAAAAGAAAGTACTATGATTTAATGAGGAAAATCACATTCTCGTTTATTCCTTAGTATCTGAAATGGACACTGTAAGTTAGTCACCTGACTAACTTACTAAGTCACCTGCTCTTCCTCTGTGTGGCCTGTAGGTGGTGACCTACTACAACCAGCTTCACGAGGTGGAGGAGAAGACACTTTGTGTTCACTTTGAGCTTGAGGTCACAGTGGAGGAATCAGCTGGTCAGTACAAACTCTATAAACATGATTCATTTTAAACAGGACAGTGAGGATTTTTAATGTATTTGATATTTGAACAGAAAAGTCTTCTCCTGATGTGGTCAAGTCCTACCTCATGACCATCAAAGTCCTGTGAGTCCTACCAAATCAAACAGTCACTTATTTTTTTAGCTCTCTCCTTTCATGGCTCAAGCATCATTGGTTTGTTTCCTGTGCCGCCTCTGCTGGAATTGAGTAATTATTTACCTTAAAGGATCTTTAAAGGATCTCATCATCTTCTCATCTTTGTTTTAATGTTGTTTCCTCATCACAAACAGACCTGGACTTGTGTTTTGTTTTATTCACTCATGTTTAACACACTAACCCTGCATATTTAGGCTGAGTTCTTCTCTCAAACTGAAAACCCACTGTTCCACCTTATGATGTCATGTGACAGGAAGTGCTCCACTGTGTTTTTAAACTCCATACACCTTCACAAGGGTTATTTGGATGATTTCAGTTAAATTGCCAATCTCTACTGAACTAAAGGTAAAAATCACTGTGAACTTGAAAACTACCACTTCATGACATCACAAGGTAAAACAGAACACTGAGCTTCGGAGATGTAGACAAACAAACAGGCTGCATAGCAGCTTCTACCCATGAGCAGTGGATGTGCTCCAGGAGCACCAACACAGATAAAAGGCCTGAAGAGACTCCATGCAATAATCTATTTGTAGATTTATTTATTTAATTCATGTTTTTAATGGTATGGATGTGAGAATTTGTCTATATTTATTCATTTTTACTGCTACAGATTTGCTTTGTCGAAGTTTTGTTGTAATTTGTACAATGACAATATATCGATAATTAATCAAATGAATCAAAACACAACTCCAGGTTTGTTTTGAAGAGGTAACAGAATTTTAACATGTCTTAAAGCTCACATGAGTTAATTTTCCATAATATAGCACCTTTAAATGTTGCACAATATGGCGTTACTTTATCTTTCTCCATGGAAACAAGCAGTTGATGCCACTAAACTGATCTGTAGACAGGAGAGCCCACTCACTGTTAAATATGTTTTTCAAGTTTATTTATTTATTTTTGATTAATTTTCTTTACTACTAAGAAAATTAGCTGTAATGGAATAAAACAAGCCAGGTTAGTTAATGCTGTTGCTGTTAAGGCTGTGGAACATTGTATACATGGAGACAATGTCCATTTGGTGATGAACATTTAAATAAGTTTTTTTTTAATCTGTATTATTTGTCTTGGTTTTTCATGCCTCTTGTGTCACAGGGCACTAGGACCCAGAGACGTGCGGATGGTGGTGCTGGACGTGAGTCTGCCCACAGGCTTCACTCCAGACAACACAGACCTCGACATGGTAACAATATACTCATACTTCAACTACTCTAAGTACTGCAAATACTTTCCCTTCAAAGGGGCAAACAGGAACTGTCATTTAGTCTAAGTATGGACAGAAATATTAAGCAGCCACAGCTGCTCAGAGACAGTCTGAGAGACCATGCAATCATGTGCCTGTAGTCTGTCCCCTAGTAGTAGTAGTAGTAGTAGTAGTAGTAGTAGTAGTAGTAGTAGTAGTAGTAGTAGTAGTAGTAGTAGTAGTAGTAGTAGTAGTAGTAGTAGTAGTAGTAGTAGTAGTAGTAGTAGTAGTAGTAGTAGTAGTAGTAGTAGTAGTAGTAGTAGTAGTAGTAGTAGTAGTAGTAGTAGTAGTAGTAGTAGCAGTAGTAGCAGTAGTAGTAGTAGTAGTAGTAGTAGTAGTAGTAGTAGTAGTAGTAGTAGCAGCATCAGTTCTGTAATTAGCAGTAAAAATAAACCTGTCAAATTGTGATTGTTTTTTGTTTTGCAGCTTTCTAACTCAGTGGACAAATACATCGCAAACTTTAAAGTGGTGGACAACCTGAGTGACAGAGGCTCCCTGATCCTGCACTTGTTTAAGGTGCTCACAATGTTTCATACTGGTTTAAAGGTTCTATAGTACGTCACATTAAGCTTTAAACTGTTGTTAACTTCCCAGAAACATTCCTGGAGTTGTTTTGTTTCATTCACACATGTTTAAGTAATCCTTTATTATTAGTCTGTCTACATCTCCAAAACTCAACATGCTCTGTTCCACCTTGTGATGTCATGAAGCAGTAAGAGCTTCTTTTACCTTTACGTCAGTAGACATTGGAAATTTGTAGTAGTAGCAACAACAGCAGTAATAGTAGCAGTAGTAGTAGTAGTAATGGTACTAGCAGTAGTATGAAATATACAGTAAGTATTAACTGTTATAGTAGTAGTAATAATCTATGTTGTTTTTTTTTTTAATCTCAGGTTTCGCACAAAGAACCAGAGATTGTGATTTTCAAACTCCAGCAGAACTTTAAAGTGGGACACATCCAACCCTCCTCCGTCACCGTGTACGAGTACTACAACCCAGGTAAATACTCCAATCCAATACTGCTATCCAGAGAGACAAGGAATCTAACCCACAACCTCCTCACTGTTTTGCAGACCACCGGTGCAGTCGTTCATTCACTCCCAGAGAAAACACAGAGGAGCTGACTCAGATCTGCTCTGGGAACGTCTGCAGATGCACTCAAGGTCAGGGCTCAGGCTTGGGCTGCACAATTCACTGGACAAAATGTAACTGCAAGTTTTTTGACAAGTATTGTCAAATACAGTACAAGAGTTAGATGTGCGATATGTTTGGAACTATATGTAAGATTTAGATTTTAAATGTTTAAACCTGACCTGTCTGTGTGCCCAGACACAAGTTAAACATGTTCAAATCAAACATCACTTTGACTGAGAACAAATGTAATGCTGATTTATTCTTAATTACAAAAACATTGGACAAGATGTCCCATTTATAGATTTTATAATTTGGTGTTTTGGTTCTTAAGATGATTGTCCAGTCAGAAAGCAGAATGAGCCTCACATGAGTCTCTGCAGCCAATCATTAATCATTACTAGTGCAGCCTCTGCAGCTCCGATATCAGCTGTGCTCAGTCAAATAGTGACTTTTCTCTGATTATGTTTTTGTTTGAATGTGATGCTCAGGTTTATAATGTCTCTGAGGTGTGATGTTTCCCTGTGTCCTCCAGGAGACTGCTGTGTCCCAAAGGAAGACTCTGAGAACTTGTCAGACAAAGCCCGCGAGACGTTTGCCTGCACCACTCTGCACCACGGTACCACACGCTAACACACTATCACACTATCACACTATCACACTAACACACTATCACACTAACACACTATCACACTATCACACTAACACACTATCACACTAACACACTATCACACTAACACACTAACACACTATCACACTATCACACTAACACACTAACACACTAACACACTAACACACTAACTACACACTAACACACTAACACACTAACACTAACACACTAACACACTAACACACTACACACACTAACACACTAACACACTAACACACTAACACACTAACACACTAACACACTAACACACTAACACACTAACACACTAACACACTAACACACTAACACACTACACACTAACACACTAACACACTAACACACTAACACACTAACACACTACACACTAACACACTAACACACTAACACTACACACTAACACACTACACACTAACACACTAACACACTAACACACTAACACACTAACACACACACACTATACACACTAACACACTAAACACAAACACTAACACACACACTAACACACACACTAACACACTAACACACTAACACACTAACACACTAACACACTATCACACTATCACACTAACACACTAACACACTAACACACTAACACACTAACACACTACACACTAACACACTAACACACTAACACACTAACACACTAACACTACTAACACATACACTAACACTAACACACACACTAACACTACTACACACTAACACACTATACACACTAACACACTAACACACTAACACACATAACACACTAACACACTAACACACTAACACTAACACACTAACACACTAACACACTAACACTAACACACTAACACACTATAACACACTAACACTAACACTAACACACTAACACAGACTACACACTAACACACTAACACACTAACACTACACACTAACACACTAACACACTAACACACTAACACACTAACACTAACTAACACTACACACTAACACACTAACACACTAACACACTAACACACTAACACACACTAACACACTAACACACTACTACACACTAACACACTAACACACTAACACTAACACACACACTAACACACACACTAACACACTAACACACTAACACACTAACACACACACTAACACACTAACACATACACACTAACACACTACACACTACACACTAACACACTAACACACTAACACACTAACACACTAACACTACACTAACACACTAACACACTAACACACTAACACAACTAACACTACACTACACACTATCACACTAACACACTAACACACTACACACTACACACTAACACACTAACACACACTAACACACTGAACTAACACACTACACACTACACACTAACACACTAACACACTACACACTAACACACTAACACACTAACACACTAACACACTAACACACTAACACACTAACACACTATCACACTAACACACTAACACACTAACACACTAACACACTAACACACTAACACACTAACACAACACACTAACACACTACACACTAACACACTAACACACTAACACACTAACACACTAACACACTACACACTAACACACTAACACACTAACACACTAACACACTAACACACTAACACACTAACACACTACACACTAACACACACTACACTAACACACTAACACACTAACACACTAACACACTAACACTACACACTAACACACTACACTAACACACTAACACACTAACACACTAACACACTAACACACTACTACACTAACACACTAACACACTAACACACTAACACACTAACACACTAACACTAACACACTAACACACTAACACACTAACACACTACTACACACACTACACACTACCACACTAACACACTAACACACACTAACACACTAACACACTAACACACTAACACACTAACACACTAACACACTACACACTAACACACTAACACACTAACACACTAACACACTAACACTAACACACACTAACACACTATTTCTAATTGAACTAAACATGATTGTTGTGCTTTTCACGCTGCATTTGACCCTTTAACACTGCTTAGGTTAAACTGTCAGGAGCAGCAGCCATCCACAGTGCACTGAGCAGAGACAGACATTATGTAGCACTAAATGACTCAAATGCACAAGCAGGATTTGTTGGAGTAACTGAGGCCCCACATTTCAGGAAATGACACCCCCCCCTCTGCTTTCAGAACTACCTGCTACAAAATCAAGCCTTGAGTGCCAGAAGAGCTAGAGCCAGCACTTATGTCAAGGACTGCAGACCTGGACTATACTTAGACTGTACTTGGACTACACTTGGACTATACTTGGACTGTACTTAGACTGTACTTAGACTGTACTTGGACTCTACTTGGACTGTACTTGGACTGTACTTGGACTCTCTTACTCATACTGTTGTTTTTCTTGTTTCAGTGTTCAAAGTGAAAGTGCTGAGTGCGACCGAGAGTTACTATGACAAATACGAGCTGCAGATCACACAAGTCATCAAACTGGGTACGAGTCTCCGCCCCTCTGTTCATAACTTTTTAAAGTGCATATGACAAGTGTTTCTAATTCTGACTTGGTGTGGTGGGATTGTATGTGTGGTCAATATTCATCAGTTTTACATGAGTACATCAGTACATACTCTCTTCCATATTTTGGATGGCGTTTTCCATGTTGAAGACAAACACAGAAGTATTCTGTTTTACAACTCAGTGCTGTTCTATGTATTTTATTTTCTTTACTTTTTCATTTTTCCTCCCACAAACTGCCACTTGACTGATGTAAAACAATAATCCATATTTAGCTCAGGTACAGTGAGAATGATAAAGCCATGGAAAGCTCTCGTCTGCACTTTACGCCTGAGTGAGGCGCGTTCACTTCAACTGTGTCCCTTTAGGAGCTGAGGCGGGGATTCTGGCCGGACAGAGCCGGACCTTCCTGTCTCATGGAGCCTGCAGAGACAGACTCAAGCTGGTCCCAAACCAGGAGTACCTCATCATGGGCCCCAAAGACGACCAGTGGAACATCGACAGCGCCACCAACAGGTAATTGTATTTATATTACTATATTTGTATTTTTTACTTTACCTGTACATGTATACATTTATATATTTATGTCTTATTTGACACAAGTCTCTTGCTATTTTTGCTACTTATTTAGAATTTATTATTACAATTTATATTGTTGTTCTTTGTTATTATAATATATCGTGATGGGTGAGTTACTGCACTTCCTGTATTACTGTATTATTACGTGACATCACAAGGTGGAACTGAGTGTTTTCTGTCTGAGAGAAGAACTCAGCCTAAATATGCAGGGTTTGTGTGTTAAACCCGAACCCAGATCATGATTTGTGATGAGGAAACAACATTAGAACATAGATCAGAAAAGAGAATCATCTGGGCCCTTTAAAGGAGCTGTATGTAACCTGCCCTCTTACTGTTTCAAAAGGATACTAGAACAGAACACTACATGTGATACCATTGTTTGTGGAGTCCCACAGGGATCAGTGCTAGGCCCCAAATCATTTCTTTTATATATAAACACCTTGTAATTAGTTTCTGAAAAACTTAAAATTTAAAAGCAGTACAAATTGCTCACTTAGTTGGATATAGAGAACATACGAATGCACTTCTTTGTCAATCAAAGATACTGAAATTTGGGGACCTGGTAAAATTTAAAACATGTCAAATTCTTAAATCCTTACATTTTTAATTCTCATTACTGTTTATTTTGAACTTTTCATAAACGATAAACTTTGTGCCTTCTTTATCATTATTATTAGTCTGTGCGATCATAAACAAAATATATTTGAGTGTGTGTGTATATATGTGTTATGCATATGTGTGTATGTGTATATATATTTATATTGAATATATGTACTGGATATTTTAGATGCGTGTGTGTGTATTTATGCAATTCATACGACAGGTAAGCACCCCAAAGGTGTAAAAAAAAAGTGTCAGCCACGTGATTATGTAAAACAATTGGAATCGTTTTTTTAAACTTCAACCTACTCTTTTTGAGCACCAGGTCCCAAACATGTGCATGTGCATATCCTTGTTATTGTTGTTGTACATTGCTCAAACAAATAAAATGAATGAATGAATGAATGAGAATCACACCTGAACCTGTGTCCCCAGAGCCTTATTTGTTTAATGGTTTGTTCATTATTCAAAGACTATGTTAATGTATGCTGAATGTACTCCCCCTGGTGGTAGTTTGGTGGTCTCCTGTATTTGTGTTGACTACACTTTACTCCCTCTTGTGGCAGGTACGTGTATCTGCTGGGTAAGAACACGTGGGTGGAGCGATGGCCGTCTGAGGAGGAGTGCAGCGCCTCCCTCAGGCAGAAGTGTGAGAGTCTGAACGCTATGGCCAACGAGCTGTCCACGAACGGATGCCGACTGTAACTACGCAGTGTCCCTGAACGCACCACCACTGGAGCTGTCCAATCACTCTATGTTTTTATTATTATTACACAAATAATACAAAAAATATTACACTTCTCTCCTGAGATTTATTTGGCTCCTCTAATTATTGTATCTGATTACTCTAGTGATCTGACTTTACTGGACATGTACGTGGACCCACTATCTGTATTGGTTTCGGTTCATTGGTGCATCTCTTGAAATCTGTAAAATGTCATTGTTTCAGTCGACAAAACACTTAAAATGTTTATTTGATTTAGAATGATTTTGTTTGTATTTATTTCAGTGATTTTGACTTGGCTTTTCGGCTTATGAGACAGCACAGTAGAACCACAGTGCAATGAAGGGTTTATGGGTAAAACTAAAATCTGACATACAGTCAAAGAGAAAATAAAGTGGACACCAAGTAGTGAAGGGTCTTTTGGCTCTTTTATGGGAGTCCGAATCTTTTGGATTGATACATTTCATATATGAAAGAAGCCAGTGTGAAAACTCATTTTACCTACAAACTAATCACAGAGAAAATACCAAGGCTCAGATCTGTTTGAAATGGTTCAAACTGAGAGTGGAAGTGTGTTTACCCTTTGAAACGATGAATAACCTCTGTCTGATCTGTTCTCATTAGAAGAGTCTGATTTACTCTCATTAGAAGAGTCTGATCTCGTCTCATAAGTGGGAACAAGCTCCATACAACATAAACGTTCTCTGGGTGACTTTTCATTTGTTGTTTTGGAGACAAATGGTAAATGGTAAATAGCCCTCACACTGAGGCAAAGGTCCTATTTTACACAAAATGGACTCTTGTGATTTTAAAACCATGCAGACTGGACTAGACCAGAGACTAGACTGGGTACTATAGACCAAGACCTAGATCAAGAACTAGACCATACACCAAACCAGGCTCTATCTAGACAAGAGCTCAGACCACAACCCAGACCAGATTAGACCAGAGACCAGACAAGGGAATAAAGACCATAGACCAAAAGTTAGACCAGAGTCCACATACGAGTCCAAACAAGACCACAGACCTAAACCTGACTGGACCAGGCTGGGATTACTCCAGGGACCACACAGGGTATTAGGCCAGAAAACAGAGACCAGACCAGACACCTGACCGATAGGCCAGACCAGAGCCCTGACCACACCCAGAGACCAGACCCAGAGGCCAGGCCCGTAGACTTGTCCAGAGACCTGACCAAAGACTAGACCAAGGACCAGAGTCCAGACCTTACTGGTACTAGTCTTGAGCTAGTCCACACTTCACTTCTAGACACCAGACCATAGTGGACTGTCTGATTATCAGGATCAATTTACATTCCAGAGTCCAGAGAAGAATAAGAGAGAGACTAGAATCCTACCCCCAGACCAAAGTCCACTTTGGAGTTCAAACAAGACCAGAGATCAAGACCAGACTACAGCAGGACTACGGTGGGACTACGGTGGGACTACAGCAGGACTATGCGGGGTAGACTAGAGTCCGTACCCATCTAGAGTCCCAAACTATAATTTGGACTATAACCAAGAGTTACATCAGAGTCCAAACTGGGGTCCAAACAAGACCTAATCTGGACCGGATATGGGTGGGACTTCAGAAGATCTACGGGTTAGACCATAGTCTAGACCCATCTAGACTCATAGGCCAGAGTCCAGACTACAGTGGGGCAAGACCCTGGTCCACATCCCAGACTGGAGCTAGGACTACAGCGGCACTAGACCCTGGCCCAGATCCCAGATCTGAGTTTGGACTACAGCGGCACTCGACCCTGGCCCAGATCCCAGATCTGAGCTTGGATTTGCCCTTGAGGTGCCATGGTGAGGTGGAGGTTCTTCCTGGAGGTTTTTCTGTGCCTCTGGTGCTCTGTGAACGCACAGTGAGTACTTTCATCTGTTTATTTAAAAGAAAATTCTGATTTTCACATTTCTAACTCCTTTTTTTTTTCCAGAAATTGGCGAGACAGGTAAGTTCTTCAATTTACTGCTACTGCTACTATTACTGCTACTGCTACTACTACTACTACTACTACTACTGCTAGCTACTACTATTATTACCACTACTACTGTTTCCAGAAGTGGGTAAATGGTAGTCAAGTGGTCCATGAAATTAGTCACATAAGAGTAAAAAGTATTTGGGAAAACTGCTAAAGTAAAAGTAATATTTTGAAGTGAATGTAATTTGAAGGACAAAACATGAAATAAAGTACAAAATCTGGTGTTTTCAAAGGACAGATGCAAAAGGCGACAAACTAAATCATATCTGAAGGAGCGCTGCAAGAAACACCAATGTAATTTCATATTTTCAGTATAAAGCTTTTGTCACTTGTACTTACTCACAGTGTAAGAGTACTGTTACCTCAAATAAAATATTACTCAAGTAGGAGGAAAAGTGTGTCGCTAGTACAATTTCTTTAAAAAGTTACTGAAATAGATGTAACTGAGTACTGAGTACAACTGTTTCTACTACATTAATGATCAGTTTTTTAATATTTAAAAAAGTGCCGTGTTCTTTTCCAAACAAAGGTTTGTAGTAATAATTTTGCACCTTTGTGGTTATCTCTACAGTCCAACAGGGCTGTCAAAAGTCTTGAAAATCAGATACTCATTTGAACAGGCACTGATACTAAAAAAAGTCCCATTCACAGGAGAGAAATGAACCTTTCCTGAGTCGCTTTAGAATGATTTTGAGCTGTAGACTATTATACACCCATGGACCACTATGGAACCTACCTGGACCCTGAGGTATTACACACATATAAGACCACATGGGAATAGAAAAAAAGTACTATGATTTAATGTTGAAAATCACATTCTATTGTCTACAAAGAGTTTTTTTTTTTAATGTTATTGTTTTTTTTTTTCTTTGTGGTTTCACAATCGTATTGAGTACAGTATCAAGTATCAAGTGTACTCCTTAGTGGAAATTGAGTTTGACATCTTAGTATTGTGAAAACAACACAGTCCAACAAGTTGTTTTTTTTTTTTTTTTTTTTTGCACATTTGTCATCAATTGTTTAACAAACACCTGAACTATATTATTCTATAATTTTCAGATTTGAGCCTTTTGAGCGCCACCTACAACATTCCAGGTAACCAGAGACCAAACACCACACGCCAGAGACCAGAAACTAGACCAGAGACCAGAAACTAGACCAGAGACTAGACCAGAGACCAGACCAAAGACTAGAAATCAGAGACCAGACCAGAGACCAATCGAGAGACAGAAGACCAGTCCAGAGACCAGAGACTAGAACAGAGAACAGAGATCAGCACCAGCAACAGCAGAACAGGGACCAGCCAAGAGACCAGAGAAACCAAAGACTAGAAAGTATAGACCAGAGAGCAGATGAGAGATCAGACTAGACCAGAAGAGAGACTAGAACAGACCAGAGACCAGACCAGACCTAACGACCACAGACATGTTTAATAATAGCAATAAATGTATAACTTATATTTAAAACATAAAAAGTGCATAAGATGTGACACATAAATTTCACTTTATTTCTATGTAAAAAGTCTATGTTTACAAAGTGCACTGTCCTAAGTTTATTCTCTTCATAATTCTGTGTTTTTGTTGCAGACGTCCGGATGAGATCGGCACTGGTCCCCGGTAAAGTTCTCATTTTTGAAATAATTGAAACAATATAACAAAAAATATATATTTACACCAGATCTACTCTGCAAAATGGACTTTTCAGAGCTTTCCTTGTCCTCGTCTAGTCCAGGTTTAATCCCAGTGTAGGGGTCAGTCGGTCGTGTGTGTGTGAAATATTTGCTTTTGGAAAAGTGGAGTTTTGGGGCCAAGGTCCAGAGATTTCATCAGACAAAAAACTCACGACTCTCACTTTGGATTACCACTGCTTGTACTATTACTTTTACTATTATTAGTACTACAACCACTACTAGTCCTGATTCACTCCTTATTTAGTCTTGGGTTTAGTCCTGGTTTAGTCTTTGTACAGTCCTGGTTTAGTTCTGGGTTAGTCCTAGTCTAGTCCTGGTTCAGCCCTGGTTTAGTCATGGTTTAGTCCTGGTTCAGCCCTGGTTTAGTCATGGTTTAGTCCTGGTTCAGTCCTGGTTTAGTCCTGTTTCAACTCTCATGTAGTCCTGGTTTAGTCCTAGTCTAGTCCTGGTTCAGCCCTGGTTTAGTCGAGGTCTAGTCCTGGTTCGGTCCTGGTTTAGTCCTTGTTTGGTCCTGGTCTAGTCCTGGTTCAGTCCTGGTTTAGTCCTTGTTTGGTCCTGGTATAGTCCTGGTTTACCCTGAGTCCTCTCTTGGTTGCAGGTTCAGAGTCCTTGCTCCAGACGTGCTCAGAGCAGACAGTGAGGAAAATGTGGTTCTTCAGGCCGATGGGGTCTCTGGTGCGGTCCCGGTCTCCATCCAGGTCTGGGACTTTGGACGGAGCAGCGTCCTTACACAGACCTACGCCACCCTGAGCCAGGACAATAAATACCACATGGTTCACAGTATACGGGTGAGTCCTGCTTTAGTTATCGTTTAGTCCTGATTTAGTCCTGGTTTAGAATGGATACCACATGCTTACTCAGCATACGGGTGAGACCTGGTTGTCTTGGTCAAGTCAAAAAGCTCTCAAAACTATTCTGTATCTCTATGAATTTGACCAAAACTGCAAAAAAAGTACTAGGAAATGATGTATTTAAAGATAGATTGAACTCTTTTTACATATAGGCTTAAATACTAAGATATACCAAATCTTCAGCCAACACACTCACTCACTTCTCCATTCTGCTGTTGTCCCATAGAAAGCCTTTATTATCTAAATACGACTTAAGGACTACAGTGCGGTAATACGCGAACAGTTAATCATGAAATTAGAAGGACTGTAGTCTTTTAGTCCTTTAATCGGCTGATGGAGTCTTAGTCAATATGATGATGATGAGGATTTCTATGAGACAACCACAGAAAGTGACTGAGTGAGCTGAAGATGAATCTGTCTTTATAAATACTGTACATTTTAATTTAATTACTCCTGACAGCCAGAGGGAGGTGCTTTGCTTTGCACTTGGATATCTACATGTTTGCCCAGCATGTAGGTCGAGAACATAGAACATCTGGAAGATGAATCCAAGATGGTGCTGTGTTGTTTTCAATGGCATCGCGCCAAAAAAGATTTTTACTTTTGCGTTACTTCCTGAATACTGGCCTTACACTGCAAAACATGTGACATCAGAAACGTGCATTTCTGATTGGTTCTTTTCACTCTATAAAGACGCAGGGTCTGACAGTGCTACGCAGAGCCTGAGCAATGCTTCACTTCAAGCATTTGCCTACATGTCCAGAGAGCCTGGCAGACTTCTGTCCACCCTGACCATCGCCAGACGTCAGGTGTGGCTAGACCAGTCCCCCCCGTCGGAGCTTTGTAGGGATACACTTCACACACTGCCCATCCGTGACCGCGCCTCCAGGTCATGAGGAAGCCACAACAGTCCAGTCTGACCTTTGACCTCTGACATCACATGAATGAAACAGAATGAGAGTTATGCTTGTTACAAAGGTTCTATGAATTGTGGATGACCACCAGAGTTTCCTGTCACTCAAAGTTATTGTGAGTGCATTTTGAAAGAAAAGTGTAACAGGTGTGTCAAGTACATATGGGTTTTCTGGTGTCACCCACGTCACGTCAGCTTTGAGGTTATTTATTCTTGACCTATGTTCTGCGTACACATGGAGATATCCAGGTGCAAAACACCGGCCTCTGGCAGTAATCCAAAATTCAAAAAACCTTTGTTACATGTGTAACTCTTGTGTTTCCTAATACTTTTCTCTGCAGAAATAGTTGTTTTTATAAATCAGTCAATCAATCAAAATCACTTCATCTTAAGCACTCGGAGCAGTAATATACAATAACAGAAAAGGTCAAACAAATGTCTCAGTGCAGCTCAACAGGTAGAGTCATGAAGTAACAGTCCTCAGGACAAAGATGTCCTCCTCTGTGTCCTGTAGCATCACAACAGCCTCCAGGGGGAGCCAGAT